CCACCCCCCACCCCCCCCACACACCCCTCCTACCCCCCACCCCCCCTACCCAGGGTACGGCCATGAACAGCAGCATGGCGTCCCCCAGAGCCCGGGCCTTGAGCAGGTCGGGTTCGGGGCCTGGGGACGCACACACAGTGGGGGGGAGGGAGGGTGGAACCAACTAACCCAGTTGTTCGGTTGCCTCAAACAGTTAGTTCGTTAGTACGGGTCATAAAAGCAAACCTGTCTTTGATTGGGCTTCCAGAGGGGGTCCACAGAGGTTGGCCGGAGAGCGCCCCCTGGTGAGTTTGTCTATCTGTCTGTCAGTCCGTCCCTAAGCGGGTGAGAGGGCGATACGTGGTGGAATTATACGCATCTAGCATTAAATTCTTTCTAGATCCGGATTTTGGATCTAAATCTGGATTTGGATCTGAATCTGAATCTGGATTTGGATCTGAAAATCCGGATCTGGGTTGGGCGGGTGTGTGTTGGAAATTCGTTGGTTCCTATCCAGGGAGGGAGAGCTGCACCCCCCCCCTTCCCCGCCCACACCCCCGCACCTGCCATGTTGTTGTGGCTCTCACACGCCCGCTCCCCCCCCGCCACACCGCTGAAACCGAACCACCGCTCGGCGGCCATACCGACCAGCGGGGCGCCCAGGGCGGAGATGGCGCCTAAACAGGACACACATGTACAGATATACATAGGGACAAACATGGGGGTGGCGCGGTTCATCCGACAGGAGGCGGAGGGGATAACGAACGAGGCCGAGGAGTCCACCTCCCCGCACCCCCTAACTCCCTCACCCACTCCAATAGCGGCCGGCGGCCGGGGGCGGAGGCAGTGCGTTGACCACCGTGGGGCTCCGGGTAGCTGTCCCTCTGAGCCACCAACAACCCCAACAACCCCAACAACCCCAGCTCCTCGGCCAAAGGGCTGTTGTCGATTTATTATTATTAGGTCCAGGTCTACACGCGTACACACATACATACATACATAATACCCGCATGCATACCTACCTTCGAAAGAGCGGTCGAACGCATACACCAAGTTCCTCATATCCGGCGGCACTATCTCGGCGAACACGGGGTTGTTGCAGGCGGGGCCCGCCCAGCTGGTCAGCACACCTGGGGGAGGGGGGAGGGGAAAGGGGGGGAAAGGGCGGGGGGGGAGGCGGACAAAACACAGTGGCGGCAGCAGCAGCAGTAGCAGCACCACTTTATCCCCGCATAAGAATGGTCTACTAACTCCCCACACCCCTTAACCCCCCCCCACAACCCACACACACCCGCACGCAGGGTACGGACCTTTCAGCAGCAGCATGGCCGCATACACGGCCGCTGTGGCGGGTGTGGCGGTCATGGGCAGGCCCCGCATGATGACCACACACAGCGGTACACCGATACCCACACTGAACTGCGGAGGAGGGGCAAGGGGAGGGGGAGGGGCAAGGGGAGGGAGAGGGGCAAGGGGAGGGGGAGGGGGGGAGGGGGGGAATGCATTAGGGGAAGTTGAGGGGGTCTCCTGCCGGTGCGTTTGGAAGGGGGGAGGGGCCGTGCTGATAGAAGTAGGTCGTACAGCAAACACAAACGAAACCTCATGTGACAAGGGGCCAGGTAAAGGAGTGACGCTGCGTACATACGTACATACATACATACGTACATACATACGTACATACGCGCGAAAAGTCGCATATCAACGTACAGACAGATAGACAGACAGATAGACAGACAGGTAGATAGACAGACATGGGACACTGCCCCACTCCAAGGTCGCACTGCCTACCCCTACCTGCAGTATGATGATCAGAAAGGTCGGGGTGGTGATCATCACCCAGATGCGACCGCAGCTCAGCACGGGCCGACCCCCCCCACTGCGCCCCAGGACGACCGCAGCGGCAGAGGAAGCGGACTCGTACCCGCCGCCCTCTACGGCACATCCAACAACAGCCACCTCGCCGCCACTACCACCGCCGCCGCCGCTCTTCCCAAACGCCGCCAGCGCGCCTTTGGACCCAACCGCTGCCGTACACCCACGCTCGTCCATATACGGCTTGCACTGCTGCTGACTTCCAGGAGAGGCG